CTTACATGATCAAAAAAATATACTTTGAGGACTTTTTTGAAAATACTATCAAAGATAAGTGATTAATTCTATTATTTTCTCTTTGGATAAAATTAGAATTGTTTTTAATTGTGTATTATATTCTGAGTTGGCATATAAATAAATGTGAAAATAAAGGCATAATGACTTTTCCATTTTGTATTATACCTAATAAAGAAAAGGAAGATTATTTATGTAAACTTAAAGAAGAAAATTAAGGGAAAATGACTTTTCCATTTCTGGCAAAGTTCATTCCCATCATTATTAAACAACTAACCATATTCACATTTAATCCGCTATTTAAATTTGTTAGAATATTTTATTTATATAATCTAATTGAAATATATTATTAAAAAGGAATATATTTAAAAGAATACAAATAATATACATATTTAGAAAATCATAATTTTAACCAATTAAATAATAATAAAAATATTTTTAAGCTACATTATTGACGATATAAATATTTTTAGATCAAAATAAAAATTGAAAATACTAGACTATTTTGGTCAGAGTAGTTCTTATTTTTAAAAATCCACAACGTTTTTTTTCTTTGGGAAATAATTAAGTGCCTGTTAAGGGTAAAGTATTTATACGAGGATATCCAATTAATATTACTCAAAATTAATTATCCAAATATCTTTTTAAAAAAAAATTAAAACAGACGTCAGCATGAAATCATCTTTACAGTGCTTTGTTATCGTCCTTTTTTTGGTTTGTTTTAGTTTTTTAAAAATAAAAATATAGAATAACAACTAATTATTTTTAGAAATATAAAACTTGAATTTGCGTGGTTAAATAAATTTATACTACTTAATTATTAATTATAGCTATTATCACAGCTATTGTTTGCTATAATTATCACCGCTACTAACATTATATAATAATTATGTGGGCTGACTTCAAATTTATATAATTAGCCATGTTCATATATGTATAATTCGCCAGAATAACAAATACATATGTATAATATACAATTATCTAACCGATATACATATATACAATTCACCTCTCCCACTCTCTACCCCCTTCGCTCGTGTCTCTCTTCCCTCTCCCAATCTCGCTTGTCATATATACAAATACATATGTATGATATGCAATTATCTAACCGATATACATATACAATTTACTTCTCTTCCATTCTTCGTCCTCTCTCGCTCGCATCTCTCCTCTCTCTCCCAGTCCGTTTTGCCTCTCTCCTCCCTATAACATATAGTTACAAATTGCAATTATCAAACTATAGTTGTGTACAATAATTAAGCTATATTTGAGTGGCTATATGTGAAAGTTCCTCAATATTGAATATTTATATTATAATAAGAAGGAACTAAAAGAAATTAAATCACCAGTTTATTTATTAAAATCTAATTTAAGAGAGAGTTTATTTTATAATTTTTTTTGTTTATTTTATAAATTAAATTTTCTTTTTTTTGTTCTTTTCTATTTTTAAATTAGTTAGAAAAAAGCTCTATCGTGTTTTCTTTAGCTTGTGTTTGGACATGGGACATGCGTTCATAATTTTAAATCATTGTTTGAATATGTGATTTTGAATCATGATTTAAAATATAAATCGTGATACTATTTCTTTTAAAAATGTAAAACTTGACAAATAAGTTTATATTTTGTAAAAACAAAAAGGACCCATCATTTTAAAATTTATATATGTAAAACGTCTGTGAAGAGATTATTTGTACCATGTAAAATAATTACATTAAAGAATAACTAATTACTACTATTATTATTTAGTGAATTTTTATAAATTATGTGTACCTAAAAGTTTGAAAAAAGTGGCACCTTAAGGTATTCTAATACTTTGTTTTTATGAATTATGGTTGCTCATATGATAAAATTGTATAACTTAAGGATTTAAAAGTGCATGTCCAAATAAAAGTTCAACTATAAATCTGATTTCAAATCATGAATCAATATCACATGTTCAAGTGGACCCTCAATGTTTTATTGCAGCTTCGTCATTCCCCTCACATTGAGATAGTTTTAATAATTGTGAATTGTATATGTATTAATGATTGTGTTTGTATATCTACATAAAATTTGAAGTCGTATACAATTGAATTGAGTTAACATATTTATATTTGTATATCAAATCTCTCTCACACTTTATACAAACACAAATTATGCATAGTAGCTTGTATAAATTGTATTTGTATAAAGTAGGATGGAGAGAAATGCGAAAAAGTACTGGACAGAAGAAGATTCGTATTTGTACAATCATATGTGTATAGAACAGAAAGATATATATTTGTATTTGTATATACAGTCTCTCTTGCTCTATATAAACACAAACACAAATTATACAGTTGTATTTGTATAAAATGAAGAGGCAATGAAAGATAACGAAAAGAAAAAGAGAATGGCGAGGGAAATTTCAGAGAGAGGGGAGAGCAACGAATAACAAGAAGTTCGTCGTGAATTGAAATTAAATAAAATTATAACTATAACATTTATTTTGAATTAATAATTTACTATATCGCACAATTTTCGCAAGAAATACACCCAATTCTCTATGCCACATGGTATATACCATGGACGACTGATCATTTATTCCTTTTCAAAAATATATGATACCTTGTATACATCATATACAAACACAATATCATAATAAGGACTGGTCATCATTTAGAAGCACAAAATGGTTAAAAATGCAAATATGTAAATCTAAAAGCCTACGCTATTTGTGCTTATTTTTTATTGGAATTTTTTAGGAATATAAAACCAAAACTTACTAGATCTTAAAATGACCTTATTAGACATATATCCATATTATTTATACTTATTTCATCTATACTTCTAAATAATTACGTATTATATTATTTATCAAGAGCTTTCTATTATATATTGTGAAGATCCACTTAGATACATTTATTTTTATTGTCAGATACATTAAAATAGAGAGAAGGACAAGCAAGATGGGAAGAGATGCAAGTGTGATAGCTATATATTCTAAATACGTGTGAATCACACTAGATTCACACCAAATACATGTATTTGTATGTAATTGGTGTGATTATGATGTATCTGATATACCACATATACAGTAGAGTGGTGAGTGAGATGGGAGGAAGATGAGCGAGGCCAATGTGATTTGTCTATATATCTCAGGTAAATGTGAATCCATTTGAATACAATGTATAGAATAAATTACACCTAATTGTGATTTTATGTATCTCAAGATCTATGTATCTGGAGGCATCAAATTCTGATAAGATTTAATTTGTAAATATCGCAAATTTGAGTGCATTTTGATCATTAGCTCCTAAACCAATGAGATTTTTATAAGTTTGCCAAGATTAAATTTTTCTTCTTCTCATCATTGGCAAAATACAAGGTCCTTAGAGCTAGGATTGTTCAACACTTTTGGGATTATAGACTTAAAGATTTGGGTTCACAATTGTTTGAACATTTCTCCATTTCTTTAATATATTTAAGTGTAGTATTTTATTTTATTTTGCTAGAATCTTATTTGTGAGATTATTTCTTACTGAAATTTGGTTTAAATCTCTTGTTTATTTTATTTAAAATTGAATTATTTTTATCTTTAAGAAAATGATCACTTAATATTTCTTTAATTAATTTTTGTACTTTAATTTCTAAAGGGTGAAGCAAATTCTAAGACTCATCCATTTACTTTGATTGAGCTCAAAAGAGGAAAATTGAGGTTGAGAAAGAATTAATTAATAAGAATTTTAGGAGTTAATCCTCATCTATTTGTTCAGCTAGCAATATGAGAATTACTTTAGTTATTCGCCATCGAGGTGCTCAAGGGTTCATGCTTGAATGTCGAGATCAGGAGATTATACTTAAGTAGTCTTTTTAGTATCCGTTAGGAACTTATATAGATTCTATATTAGTGATCACTTAATGATATAGACTCAACACGAGGGTACCATCATCGAAAAGTATCATCTCGAAGCTGAGGTACATTTATTGTAATTTTATTTTACTTGATGTGATACTATTTTATAATAATTATTGATAATCGAGTAAAAAGAAAAAGTTTATTATTATTTTAATTTATTAATAATTATTAGTATGACTTATAGTAAATCTATCATGTATGCCTTTTTTCTATATATAAATATCCGTTTTAAAAAATTTAAAAATTCTAGATATTTAAATTCATCAAAGATTATGTATGAGATAAGTATTTTATTTTGATAGTACAAATAAAAAAAAATAACTTTGAAATTAATTTATAAAACTAATTAAATATATTTACTCTATTTTAAATAGTAAAATAGTTAAATGGTAATTTTGACTTTTTTCCAGTCATCATTAAAAAACAAGAGAGGTTTGATTAATGGTGTTGAACCTTCTAGAAGGAAACAAAACTAACAAAACTAGTTAAGCAAATTAAGCCTATAGATATAGGTAATTATAATTAGCTTTCTTCCTACCAGCTAAGACAATAAACCTACATGTCCTTAAATTTTCAATCCATTTTCCATTTCCCAAATTAAACAAAAACCTTTTTTTACCCATGACTAATTTTATTAGTCCTTATTCAGTTTAGAGTTTGAAATTCATTTTTACTATGTAAAGTCATTCAATTTTAAATTTATCGTACGGAATCAAAAATTCACTTTTTATTATACAAATATTCAAAAGTGAAATTTATTTTCTTTGTTAACTTTGTCATAATTAAATGACTTTAATTGTGTCATTAACTTAAAAATTGGATGACTTTTATAAGTGATTTTCTTAAAACTTCCCACTTGTTATTTATTATTCATATTATTATTCGATTAGATCTGAATCACATGTTTACAACATAATAACTTTTTTGGTGATAAAAAATAGAAAAACTTGATTTTTTCTTTTACTATGATATACTTGAAAAAGTAGATGACTTAATGTAACAAAGTCTAGTGAATTCATCATAATAAACTCAAAAGAGAATAATGGTACAACTAGCTCTATATAAATAAAGTCCCTCTAAGTACCATTTTCTTCAAAATCTTCAATTTCATTACATCAAGAGAGATGGAAAAGGGATTAAGTATGAAAGGCAACAAGGTTGATGATCAAATGGAACTCATCTCTCACTTCTATCCTCAAATTTACTCCCAACTAGCACAACAACAAGGTTAGAATTACAACTTCAACTTTAATTTCTTAGTGTAGAATTAGTTGTAGTTTTTTTTAAAGGAAAAGGATCAAATTTACCTTTGTACTCTTCAAACAAAGTTATATTCACTATTCTTTATACTTTCAATAGTCCAACTTTGATCAGCACATATTTACTGTTTTAATTCTCCTATAGACACACCTTTATTAATTAAACATTACTTTTATCTCTTTAGAAGAGACGGTGAAACCGCGAAGGAGAAGGAGGAAGAACAAAGATGAAGGGAGAGACAACACTAGCGAAGTTTTGATGAGGAAGAGGAAGTTGCTAAGTGAAGAACAAGTTAATCTTCTTGAACGAAGTTTCGGGGACCAACACAAGCTAGAGACGGAGAGGAAGGCCAAGCTTGCTTCTGAGGTTGGCCTTGATCCACATCAAGTCGCGGTGTGGTTCCAAAACAGGAGGGCTAGATGGAAGAACAGGAAACTCGAGGAGGAATACTCCAAGTTAAAAACTCAACATGAGGATACCATCATTGAGAAATGTCGTCTTGAAACTGAGGTACATATATATGTGGTCCTTCTTGATGTGACACTATTATTATAATTATCAATAGAGTAAAAATAGGTTCTTTTATTTTAATTTGTTAATTATTAGTATGACTTCCATATGTATTTATATAAATTTTAGTTTAAAATTTTTGAAGACTCTATTGTGTTCAGATTCATTGAAGATTTGTTAGTTTGACCTTCTTACTTAAATGTACGTTTTCATTGTAGGTGTTAAAGATGAAAGAGCAATTGTGCGAAGCGAAAAAGGAGATAGAAAGGCTATTATTGGAACATAAAAGTGATATTTCAAGCAATAATAGCCCAACTTCATCAATATTCTCAATGGAACAATCACATTTTAATCTTGGGGAGTTTGGAATGGAAGAGCAATTAATGGATGATAATATGTTCTTTGTTGCTGATTATCAAAGCAATTATGTGACTCTTTGGGATAATGAGCTAGAATGGATTTAAGTTTATTATTATCCTATATGTATGATATTATGATTATCCTTGTTTAAGTTTTAATTGTACATAAGAATCATCACGTAATGTATATACATCCTTTTTGGTAAACTGAGTTTTTTTGATACATTCCCTATTTTTTTTTTTTTGCCAAATGGATAATGTTATTCCTATGTAGAACTTCCTCAGTATCAAATTATTTATGGTGTTTTTTCTTTTACACCTTTCTTAATATGACAATAATTAGGAGGGAATTTTAACTACTTTGCCCTCATCAATGTCTTTAAGATATGAATCTATTTTCTTTAAATATTTTAGAATTCTATTAAGATTTTTGTAGTTTTATAGAACAATTATTATTAAGTATAAATTGGGAAAAATAATTAATTTTATCTTTGAGCCTCTAATGAAAAATATTTTGAGACAATCATAACATATAATTTGAGACTGAGGGAATAGTTGATACAGAGATCGTTTGGTTCATGAAATAAAATGTTCGTGTGTATGCTACAACTACTACTACATTCATTGTATCGGAAGACATAATACATAAACATGATCTTCGATTTGGTTTCAGCGAATAACTATGCCGTTCAACTTTGAGTGTGCACAAGTAAGCGTAAAATTTGTATATAATTTAACAAGTACACACATGCATCCTACATGACATAATACACTTAGAACACAAAATTGTCATGTAGGGTGTCATGTTAGATGATTGTGTTTATGTGTTTAATTTTATACAAGTTTAAGTGTCTACTTGTGCAAATCTAAAGTTAAAAGTCAGAGTTATCAAATGATACCAAGTTAAGAGTTATGTTTATGTATTATTCTTATTCCATAATCATGTTTGGTTACTAAAGAAAAGATTCAAATTTTATTCATATTTAAACAAATTTTGAAATATCATTTTTAAATTCTTTTTTGCCGGATAATACTTTTTTTTTTTAAATTAAAAAAAAATATGTGCAAATGTCCCCTTAGTAGTTTGCAAAATTTGTTTGGTATCCCCTGGTCTTGGAAATACTATGATCATGTGTATTTTAGTGGCATAACAGCTGTCCACTGAGTTTGGCGTTTTGTACAAATGATTAAATTAGCAAATGTACGGATCAAATTAGATAATTTATATTATTAATAATAATAATAATAATAAAGCTATCTACAAATTAGCTAAGATCTATATATAATTAAATTATTAAATGAGGACCACTAAAGCATAAAAGAAGGAAAATTAGTAATTACGAGGTGGCCGGTTAAGATTATGACTGTACCACGTGATAAAAGATACCTTTAATCAAGTATGTAGTACAGATTAAAATGTTAAACAAAACATAATATAAATAATGGAAATAATTACAGGTTTGAATTATTTGGTCATCTATTTTGCGATTGGGAAAAATATGCGGATAAGTAAATATATATTAGTTAGTTAGTTAATATAGCTATAATTTGAATTAATAACGGCTGACAGATTATTTTTAACTGTAATTAAGTCGCTTATACATATAAAAATACAAATTATACATATGTATATATATACAATTATATGATAGATACACAAATACAATTAGTCTCTTTCCGCTCTCTACTCTCTCTCCCTTGCCTCTCTCCTCCCTTTCCAATCTCGCTTGCCTCTCTTCTCTCTCTCTCGCCTCTCTCCTCCTTTTCCCGATCTCGCTCGCGAGATATTCAAATACACATGTATGCCAGTTACATAGTTTGCCTCTCTCCTCTCTTTGTGCTCTCTCGCTTGCCTCTCTCCTACGTCTCCCAATCTCACTCGCCAAACCTACAAATACATACGTATACCAATTACATATATACAATTATTTGACATAGATACATGTATAGTTAGTCTCTCTCCTCTCTCCGCGCTCTCTCACTCGCCTCTCTCCTCCCTCTCCCAATCTCATCCGCCAAACCTACAAATGCATATGTATATCAACTACATATATACAATCATTTGACAAATATATGTATACGATTCACTTCTCTCCACTCTGCCCTCTCTCATCCCTCTCCCAATCTCGCACACATCTCTCCTCTCTCTAACATGTAGCTACGAATCATAATCAGTAAACTGTAAATATATATTTATATTTTAATCATACTAATAAACTGGTTCATCAAACGATATATATCTGTGACTTTTCGAACACATTGATGGATATGATTTTGATTAGCCATGAAGTAGGTGTTTTGATCCAATCTTTATTAGCATTCGAAATCCCAAGTTTGAAGATGGGAAACATGAGCTTAACTTGTCGGGATAAACATGACACCAATTAGTACTTAAGCATGGAGCCAAATTTATAATTAACAAGTAATTAAAAGCATTTTAAAGGGATTCCTACCACACCATGCGCATCTATTTTTAAAGTTCAATCTTTTCCATTAAACTATTCTTAAGAAAAAGGATTTCACTTGCATCTATATATATAATAATAACTATGCCTAAGACTCAAATAAGTTGGAAACCGCGGCTATATATATATCCCCACTTCTTTATTTAAGTTTATATCACAATAAAATAATAATAATAATAATAATTAAAAAAAAATTGTTATTATTAAATTTGTTTCTACTACCATGTTATTTGACTTAATATAGGCTATTTCCATTTTCCAAATTATCAAGCAAATTATCTATCTTTTATATCAATTTTTTTTATTATTATTAATTTTACGTTTAATCAAATATTATCATATAAAATATAACGGCGGAGTGAAGAGGTCCCATATCCATTCAAACAAGAGGGTCCAGATGGTGATGAAAGAAATGCCAAAACAATACTAACAAACAAACTAGTTAAGCTAAAGCCTAAAGCTATAGATAATTAGCTTTCTAGCTAGCTATATATCCAATTAACCTAGACAAGTTTCACCAACTAAAGACAACAAAGCTACATGTCCTTAAATTTTCAATCCCTTTTTCATTTCTCAAATTAAATAAAAAGTTAATTCACCTAATTGGCTCAACTCTCAAGCTAGTATATATATAGAGAGAGAATATTCCAAACAATTGACGGATGGAATTCGCACAAAGATAGAGATAAAGTCTTTGTATACAGTATTCTAATGTCATCCTCAAATTCTATGTAAAATTACATTAGATATGTTATTGTCGTTCTGAACAGGACATGTGAACATCAAGAGAGAAAGAAGGTGCATCCCATACAACTAGCTAGTTCTATAAAATAAAGTCCCACCAAATACCATAATTTTTTAAAAGTATTCCTTTCTACACTTTCAAGCTATATATCCACTTTCATTTCATTTTCTACATCAATAAACAAAAGCAATAACAAGAGAGAAGGAAAGGGATTATGACAAGCAGCAAGGTTGATGATCAAATGGAACTCATTTCTCACTTCTACCCTCATATTTACGCCCAATTAGCACAACAACAAGGTTAGAACAACAACTTTAACTTTAATTTCTTCGAGTATGTATTGTAAAAACAAATTATCGAAAAGGATCATAATTTCTTTGACTATTAATGTTGTAAACATGATGTTTATACCTTCGTCTCTTTAGGAGAGACGGTGAAACCGCGAAGGAGAAGGAAGAAGAACGAAATTGAAGGGAGAAACAACACTAGTGAGGTTGTGATGAAGAAGAGAAAGTTGCTTAGTGAAGAACAAGTTAATCTTCTTGAACGAAGTTTTGGGGACGAGCACAAGCTAGAGATGGAGAGGAAGGCCAAGCTTGCTTCTGAGCTTGGCCTTGATCCTCACCAAGTCGCGGTATGGTTCCAAAACAAGAGGGCTAGATGGAAGAACAAGAAACTTGAGGAGGAATACTCCAAGTTAAAGACTCAACATGAGCTTACCATCATTGAGAAATATCGACTTGAAAGTGAGGTACAATATGTGTGATCCTTCTGTTTCATTTGATGTGACATTGCTATTATAATCATATATTATTATAAGAGGGAACAAAAAAGTTAGAAGTTGAATTACAATTTTACCCTTACTATAAATTAAAATGTTATAAAAGCATTTAGTTATTTAGTTTAAATGTTAAATTGTATCATTTTAATAAAAATGTAGATGACTTTTGCATTTCCTTAAATTAATTCTTAATTAAAATATAAACAAATAATTAAATGTTTGGAATGTGAAAAAATATATTTTAATTGTACATGTATATCCTAGAATAATTACTTGCATATGAAAAGAGTGACCCCCCATTTATTTGATTAATGTCGCTGATTTTATTTATTTGATTTATTATTACTAAGATATTAAAAATGTGTTATTATATATGAATGAATTAGTAATAAATTATAAAGATTACTTGTAATTGCCTCATTTATTACTAATTACAATGATTTGTGTTTTTCATCTTTTCAAACTAGACTAGATTCCAAGTTCAAAGCAATAATTATTAGTGTAATGTTAATTCTCTTATCAGTTTAATTATGATTTGTATTTTATATCTTTCCATCTATCTATATATTAAAGACTATTATTTAGAACTGAAAAATATAGAATTTAAACAGACATTTTTATTACTATTTAAGAACTAGGTGATAACCATTGAAAAATGAAAGAAATTGTCATTTAACTGATAATCAAAAAACTATACCTTACTTAAATAATGTAAATATTTCACTCTATCGTTTCTCATTAAAATAAAATAGGCAATCTTATCAATAAGTGTGCATGTATTTTTAATATTCATTTATGTCTATAAAAGGTTATTACTGATATTTAGATCATAAAAAAGACTTATACAAAGTTAAAGGAGACTATATTATATTAATTAATTTCACATACTTTTTGCTTGATGTCAAATGCGCAATTCCTTTTTATTTATTTTTGTTGATTCATAAAATATAATTGGTAAAATTAATATTATTGATTTAAACATTTTCTATTTGATAGCACAATTTTAAATTATATAACAATAAATTAAACGTGCAACGCACGTTGTCAAAAACTAGTTATCCATAAAGTCAAAAAAAAGAAAGTTTTTTCATTTTAATTTGTTAATTATTTGTATGACTTATAATAGTATCGTCATACATAGTTTATATATATTTATATATAACTTTTAGTTTAAAAAAGATCGAAGATCTATGTGTTCAGATTTATTAGTTTGAC